GAAAAAGCCTTTGACAAGATACAGCATCCATTTATGATCAAAACAACTTAACAAAATCAGTATAGAAGGAAAGTACCTTAACATAATAAAGGTCATATATGTCAAGCCCTCAGGCAACATTATACTTAATGGTGAAAAATTAAAAATTTTCCTTCTAAGATCAGGAACAAGGCAAGGCTGTCCACTATCACTACTGTTATTCAATATAACACTGGAGGTCCTAGCAAGTGCAATCGGACAAGAGAAAGATATAAAAGCCATCCAAATAGGAAACGAAGAAGTTAAACTGTCACTATTTGCAGATGACATGATTCTCTATATAGAAGACTCCACAAAAACACTACTAGAAAGAAAAAGCAAATACAGTAAAGTTTCTGGATAAAAAATCAACGTCCAAAAATCCATAGCGTTCCTATACTCTAATAATGAAGTGTCAGAAAAAGAAGAAAAAATAATTCCTTTTGCAATTGCAACAAAAAGAATAAAATACCTAGCAATAAATTTAACGAAACATATAAAGGACCTATATGATGACAACTACAAGACCCTATTAAAAGAAATCGAAGAAGATAAAGCACAGAAGACCCCGAATTGCCAAAGCCATCCTGAGAAAAAAGAATGAAGCTGGAGGTATCACTCTGCCCGACTTCAAATTATACTACAAAGCGACAGTAATCAAAATGGCATGGTATTGGCAGCAAAACACACACACAGACCAATGGAACAGAATTGAGAGTCCAGAAGGAAACTCATCTTTATATGGACAATTAATTTTCCTTTTCTTTTCTCCTCTCTTTAATTCCCTGCTCCCTGCCCAACTTCCACCCCTGACGTATGGATGTTGCCGTTTCTCCTTAAGAACTGGATCTCTGAAGGCGGGGCGTCTCCTCCCACACGCTCGCGGCATGCGCCTGGCAACCCTGGCGCACTCGGGGGGCCTAGCGCACCCAGGGTATGGTCCATGGCTCCGCCTGGGGCGTGAACCTAGGTCCTTCTGCGTGTAAAGCAGACATGCTAACCACTACACTATGGAGCCACCCCAAGGGCAATTAATTTTTGATAAAAAAGCCAAAAACATACAGTAAAGAAAAGAAAGCTTCTTCAATAAATGGTGCTGGGAAAACTGGAAAGCCACCAGCAAAAGAATGAAACTAGACTCAAAATGGATTAAGGACCTGAATATAATACCTGAAACAATAAAATGCATAGAAGAAAATATAGGAATGAAACTCAAGGACTTTGGACTTAAAGAGAATTTTATGAATTTGACCTCAAAAGCAAGGAAAGTAAAAGCAAAAATAAATGAATGGGATTACATCAAACTAAAAAGCTTCTATTCAGCAAAAGAAATTGTCAAAAAAGGTAAAAAGGCAACCATCTGAAAGGGAAATATATTTGCAATCAATGCATCCGATAAGGGCCTAATATCCAAAATATGCAAAGAACTCATAGGACTCAATAACAACAAAAAAGCAAATGATCCAATCAAAAAATGGGCAGAGGACCTGAACAGTAACTTCTCCCTAGAGGACATACAAATGGCCAACAAATATATAAAAAGATGCTTAACATTGCTAGCTATTAGGGAAATGCAAATCAAAACCACAATGAGATACCATCTCACACCTGTTAGAATAGCTATAATCAACAGGACAAGTAATAACAAATGCTGGAGAGGATGTGGAGAAAAAGGAACCCTCATACACTGCTGGTGGGAATACAAATTGGTACAGCCTCTATGGAAAGCAGTATGGAAGTTCCTCAAAAAACTAAGAATTGATCTACCATATGATTCAGCAATCCTTCTACTGGGTATTTACCCCAAAGACTTGAAAACTCATATCCAAAAAGATATTTGCACACCGATGTTCATAGCAGCATTATTCACAGTCACCAGGACATGGAAGCAACCGAAGTGTCCTAGGATAGATGACTGCCTAAAGAAGCTGTGGTACTTATATACAATGGAATATTGCTCAGCCATAAGAAGAGATGAAACACTGCCATTTGCGAGAACCTCGATGGACCTCGAGATAATCATGCTAAGCGAAATAAGCCAGACATAAAAAGTTGAAAATCACGTATCACTTATATGTGGGATATAAACCTAAAAGCAACAAATGAACAGGACAAACAGAGATTCATAGACATGGACTATAGACTAGTGGTTACCAGAGGGTAGGGAGTGGGGGAGGAGGGGGGAGGTAGACGGGGTAAAGAGGGTCAAATATAGGGTTTAGAGAGAGTGTGAAGTGGGTAAAGGGGATCAAATATCTAGTAACTGAAGGAAAGCGGACTTTGGGTGGTAAACGCAATAGAATATATAGATGTCAAATTATAATGTACACTTGAAAATTATATAATTGTATTAACCAATGTTATCCCAATAAACAATTTAAAAAAAAAAAACTGTTTGTCTCATACACACATGCACACCCTTAGGTTTCCAAAATTTGAGAGACTTTGGTCTTTTTTTTTTAAAGGATGTGTTTACTTGTTAATGTTTTTCCAAAGGTTCGTATGAAACTTTACTGAGTTGTGAAATTTTATTTGCAGATAGGGAGATATCAACTACAAAGAAAATTATTTCTCATAAGGTTGAAACTGGAATCATGGGAGAGCCAAGAATAATCCCCAACTCTTCTGATTCTAAGCCCCAACACTATATAATCAAAGAGGAAAAATTTATCTAATCAACAGGACAGAAGTTAAGGAACACTTTTTAAAAAGATGTCTAAAATACCTTGTGCTGTTTAAGTAGAAATGGTAACAGCATGAGCATCCCTCCATCATGCACAATCCACCACACATCAATGTTGCCCTCAGAAAACTGTTCCACATTGCTGGGAAAGAAGGAGATGTTTTTAGCCACCAGCAGGGCCAGATGGGCAGCAGTTGTCACTCGAACTGTTCCTAGGGAGAAAAAAGAGAGAACTGGGATAAACGGAGAAGAATCCTTTGGATTGCCTTGCTTCCTGTCATGTCAGGAAAACAAGGAAAATGTTCTTTTAGATTTCTTTGAGCAAGGTGTCCTATTATACACCTCATCAAGTAAAAAAAAATCACAGAAAAATCTGAACAGTTAACAGAATTCAGCTGAATACCAGGATTTCCTTTACTAGATATATTCTGTTCACTACCTTTCTAAGAGGGAGGATATATGAATTTGAGAGATTTTTGAGGCTGAAGGACAATCCTTCCAATTCATGTGAGAATGTCAATGTGGGAGATCACAAATGAAAACATGGCAATTTCAGAGGTAATTCCTAACATAAAGCTTGACAGAGATAAACAATTCATGAACATAATGTAAAACTAGAGGGTTTAAATAGAATAAGGTTATTACTACTAGTAGTTATTTAGGTGCCCTTTTGAGAACATGCTTCAGCAATGGCATAGTCTCTACTTAGGAGGCTAAGGAGTGGGGTTACAGTAACAGGGATTTAACTATATCCCCTATTTGGATCCTCGAGAGATTATGAGATGTGTTTCGTACCAATGAAAGTCTTCCAAGCTCGAGCATCTTCACTCTGGCGCCAGCCATTAGGCCATCCCATCACCACTGTGTTGTGCTTCATGCCCCCAAGGCCGCATGACTGGATGAGGTGGGAGATACCTTCTTTCAACTTGGCAGCCACCACTAGCTGGCAGAACCCTTTCACCTTCTCTGCCTCCATTAGGTGCTTTATAGTCTAAAAGAGAGACAAAACTTCAACACTGGATTGCTTCAACCTTGAACCTTTTAACTTGCTACTCCTCCATATTATATTCCCTTCCTCTTTCTAAAGTGCATAAATGGTATCTCCTATAGAAAAGTCCAAAAAGTTAAAATTATCCCAATGAAATTTCATGATCCTTTGTCTTTTTCACTTTCTAAGTGCTTACTACATATATAGGTGGTTGTCTACATGTGGTTCCTCTGCCTTTTTCTCTTTTCCTTCTTTGTAACATACCAAAAAATCAAGAACGGGATCTTCCCAAAGTGAATATTCAATATCCTCTCTTAACTGACCAGGGTGGGTGTGACTATGATCTCCTCCCTTCCTCAGTGACTCATATTACTAGAAATTCGATGTGATAATTCAGTTTCACTTTTGAATTTTTTCAGGCATATATTATTTTTTGTTTCTCCTGTTTCCATTTTCCTTTTTTTTTTTTTAAGTTTTATTTCGTGTTTATTTTTTAAAATTTATTTACTTTTAATTCTTTAAAGTCACCACCATATCCTTTTTTGACATTTTAATAGTAATTACTGAGGACACTTGTATTTGCTTTACTATTTTATTTATTCAAGCCAACTTGGAGATATTATTTCATTTACTCTTACTCTACTCTCTTAGTGGAAGGCAAAGGTAATATGGAAAATGGATATGATTTTCCCAAAAGCACAGATTAAGTTAGTAGTGTAGCTAGGATATTATGTAGGATGTCTTGATTTCTAATCCTGTGCCTTTTATTTATTTTTACCATCATTTGGAACAAATTTTCTTTCTAGCATCTTGTTTTTAGGGTTTCAAAGCATTCCAAAATGAAATCCAGTAAAAATTTTGAAATGTAATTGGAAATTTCTCCAAAGGGTCAGTTCTATCATTTATACTAAATATTAGAGTGAAAACTACTTTCTCCTTCAGAGAGAACTTTAATATTGAGTAAGCAAATCAGAAGTAGTGAAGAAATGTTGCTCATATGACACAGATTAGTAAAAAAGAAGAAAAGTTGTTCGTTTCATTGCTCCTTGTCACAAGATTGAGAAGACCTATCTCTATATTTCAAAGGATAGATTAATTTCATGACTTTTCTCGAGGCTGAGTCAATGTTTGCAGTCTATTTGGAAATGCCGCTTAGCCTTGATAATCTTACAGTTTGGTAATGCTTTAAATAGGAAGGAAGTACACATTACTATCTTCTGTCTCATCTTATTATTTGGGAGACTATGACTGTTCAAAAGTCAGCATTCAGAGGGAAATTATTTAGATCACTCAGGAAAGGGATTAAGTTAGATATTTGAGGTCTTACTACTTAACGACACAAAACCATACGCTTAATTACACTAAGTCAATAAGCCTTGACTCTTACCTGCTCAGCAGCTAAAGCTTCACCATAGTTCTCCAGGAAATTCCCCACAATGACTGAGCCCACAATAGTGAGACCCTTTCCTGCTTTAAGCTGTGAAGCAAAGGTGAGGAGGCGAGGATGCTTGATGTGTAAGTCTTCATCTAGTTTCATCAATACAAGCAACTGAGGCCTGTAAAGAAATTGGTGGAGAGTGTGGGTAAGGGGAAGAAAATACTTTGGGTTAGGGGAGCAGAATGACAATTCTATCCTTTAATTCAAGAGATCTGTATAAAACATGTAATTTAACAGAAAGAAGAGATTAAGGGAAATGACAGGATGAGAGTATAGAATTATTTTGAATCCTTCCAGTATTATCTCAAATTGATCTTCAAAGAAGAATAAAAATGGTACAAATCTAGATCATAAATCACATGAAGAAAAAATAATAAAGAAATCAAGGATTTGGGACAGTTCAAAATAGGTCCATTACACTAATTCCTTGAGCCACATGACTTCCCTATCCTATAATCAATGAAGCACACATTTCTGTGTGTTAACTATGTGCCAAACACCACTAACGCTCTCTTGATTTCTTTACCTCCAGTTTTTAGTGTGTGGAGGTCCTTCCTCTAGCCGGAGCAAAGCAAATCGGGCTGCACTGAGGGACAGTCCACGGATACCATCACCCCATTCTTTCTCAGCTCTGGGAGAAAAAGGAGAAAAGAGCAGGGACAGATTTAAACCACAGCATGTACGATTTCAAAAAAAAAGTTTACTTTTTCTGAGTTTAGAAGTAATTTATGCACATAGTAGAATATTAAAAGTCATATTATTAATGATTTATATAATTCTCTTTACTAATATTATAAACTCATTGTAACCAGATCAACACTACTATTCCAACAACAGAATGTTCTGCACAGCAGTTCAGAATTAAGGCGGGAAGAATCATTTACTTGTTCTTTCATGTAACTATTCAAAAACAATAATGTAAAATGACAGTTTGAATTAGAAAATTAATACAGACTCAAAGTTTATATTGAAAATAATGGGAGAAAGTAAAACACAATGTAATCTTCTGAATCAGTGTTATTTATTGCTAATTTTTGGAAGTTGCAATCAAGTCTTAGTTGTTACAAAGTTATTCAGAACTAACTTGTTTTTCATCCCAGAGACAATCCCTTTACTCAAAAAATAAGCAAAAATATTTTCATTTGTGTTATACTTTGTTAAAACTCATCGTTATTATTTGGATAACGATGTCCTTTTAGTTATTTTATCATTGATCCATTCATACTTTTTCAATAGGTTTCCCTTGCGATTAAAAGCCTGTATCCATAAGAGGGTTACAGGAATTATCAGGGGACCAAAATTTAGATATGAATGAAGTTATCTGGATCCTTAATGCAATTTTCTTTGGGCTCTAACCAAAGTAGGCAACTTTGATACTTTTAGCAGTGATCATGGTCAAATCCACAGACTCACCCTTGGTACTCAATGTACTTGTAGATCATACCAGCTATTACCATAGCTACGATGGCATAATACCAGGAAGAAATGAACATAAGAGCCAGACAGATACTCATTCCCATGAAAGAGAGGGCCCTAGAAAATTAAAAACACACACACAAATGAGTGTTTTTCCAAGCAGGTAAAAAAGAAGTCTGTGCTAGAGATGCTTCTTAAATTGTGGTGAGGAATTATTTTTCTTAAAAAACCCTTAGAAAAACTAATTCACTGCAGACAGAATTTTCATAAAAGGCTATAACAATGCATTAAATAACTACATTTACTGAAGTTTTACTGTGTAAAGAACTTCATAGCTCTATGATTCATTTCAAAGAATAGGAGAGCTGTTAATCTAGAGATTAGGAGCTAATGAAAATACATAGTAAAGAGAAAGAGAAAAATAATAAAAGCAAAATAGTAACACATAAAGTTCATAATGAACTTTTCACTAAAGTTAAAGCTAGAAAGAGGATTGGAGGTATGAAGATCTGTTGAAGATCTAAATTTTTGCCCGATAAAGGTCACATCCATGCCCACCACCAGTAAGTGAAGCAGAAAAGGGTCAAGAAGAAAGTCAGCAGAGAGGAATGTAGCAACAGGTACATACAGAACATATTAAAGAACTTTTAGCTATGATAGAAAAAAATGGAAAAAGATGGGTGGTAGCTAAAAACATGACGGCTCCTTTAGACTGAGGAGACTTGAACATGATAGCAGCAGCTGCAGCAGCATTTTGTTGATAACTTTAACACGTACCAGGCATTGTGCTAAGCACTTTAGAGTATCTCAAATCAACTCTATGAGATAGGTAATATTATTAGTTCCATTTCACAAATGAGTAAAATGAAATTTTCATGGTTATGTGTTTTGTTGAAAGTTACAAAGCTAGGAAATAGTAGAGTTGATATTTGAACTTAAGTGATCTGACTCCAAAGCGCACTCTTAACTCCTAAATGAAATTATCATAAGGAAGAGAGTTTGAGAATGAAACTATGAGACTATGAGTCCAAAGATAGAAAGTGATAAACTCCAGTGCTTAGCTACGAGGGAAATTGAAAGAGATATGAAAAAGGAAGGTGGTTTTAGCCTGAAAAATGTAGCAGGATGGAAATATTTCAATTTTGATCTTTATTCTCAAGTGGGTGTTATCAATTATTATAAAGCAATATATGAAAAAACATGGCGGTACGTCAGGAATTCAGGTGAGTAGTGAAAATTCAAAGAACTAGCCAAGAAAAAAATTGTATCAAGAACCCAGAATCTCCTAGTTTTCTAAGTTCAATGATGGACTCTCTCCAAATTGGAGGGGATGTGGGGAGGAAAAAGCAGACTCACCAGTGGTAGTAGCGGAATCGGGGTCTCCAGTTGGGTGTTCGAAGTAATGTTTGCAAGGCACATGCCAAGTTCACAAAGAGGTAACACATGAGAAAAAACCTAGCAGAATAAAAACAAATGATAAGAGGAATGATTATTATTGTAAAATGATTCTTCAAGAGCTATTTTAAATAATTGGGGATATGTGCTCTGCTAAAACCTTTGTTCTAGCCCAGTAGCCTTTGATTAAGACTAGGAAATAGAGAAACATAAACTCCCCACAAACCTGCTCATTTCCTATGTTCTCTCTGAGCAATGACATAACGAAGACCTCAAAGATGAGGTCATCTTTCGTTGCTCATCTTTGTTCCAAATTCACTTATCAAATCCTATGGATTCTATATATTTAAAAATCTCTACCACTATCACCTTAGTTCAGGCTCTCATCGCTCCTCTGCTAGATTAGTTAAATAAACATCCAATTGGCATGCCTAGATCATTTTTAGCTTTCTTCTAATCTATCATTTATACCAAATTGATCATTCTAAAACATAAATATAATCATTTTGCTCTCAAAGGATTACCCCCTACTTCTAGGTAAAAGTTCCAGGTTCTTTGTGATCTGGCTCTACCTACTTCTCTGGTCTGCTGCTCCCTAACATGTACCCTCCACTCTATCAAAGCCAAATTGCTTTTGGCTCTCTGGATGTGCTCCATTATTTCATCCTTAATTCCTTCACACACATCACCTGCCTGGAATCTCTTTCACCCCTTTGCTGCTTAGCAAATAACCAGTCTTCCTTTCACCCCTTTGCTACTTAGCAAATAACCAGATGCCTCACTTAAGAGCAGCACTCATAGCACTCGGGGTGCACTTTTACCACAGTATTCATCACATTACACAGGGATCATTACTTTTTTCAGCTACCATCAGTTCCTTAAGACTGTGTCTTATTCATTTTTGTATTTGCAGCATACTGCCCAGTGCCAGCGAGGTAGTATGTCATCAGTAAGTCACAGCTGAATTAATAAAACCTAACAGTGGTAGTAAAAGCTACAATCAATTAGTAATAATCAGAAATGAAGGCAAAGAACATCTGAAGTTATATAGGTAGGAAGAAACTCTGACTATTATAGCCTTACATAAAACTTCTCAGGAATATTTATTATATAGTGAAGTTACATCTTTAATTGGCTCACTTTGTAGTTATCACCATTGTTATAGACCTGATGGAAACCCACATGTATTATATATCACATAAGCAAGAATGACTGAAGACAATAACTGGCTCTTACATGGAAAGAATTGGGGCCACAAGATCCAGTGAGGCAATAAGGATTCCCAGCTCTGCAATGGCAGCAGTCAGAAGTAAAGCCCAAGTAGGTTCCCCATTGGCTTTGCTGTGACCAAAAACCTGTACAAAGGGAAATAGACATAGGAGTGTGGGAAGTGTTTGAGTCAGTGCTCACTGAATCTTCTATGATATAGTTTCAGACATCTGAAAGGTAACAGTGTTGCAACTGTGTTATCTTTTAAACACCTTTACCCAACTCACATATTAACTCATACTAGGGATTTAGACAGTTTTATACTAAAAACCGACATGTTTTTTCATATTATATGATCTAGTAATTCATAAGCCTATGACAACCACACTGTTTCTCATAAGACCTGAAAAAAAAGGAAAAGGGCATAGGACAGGGTCACTCACCCTCAGAAAGGGTATGATGTTATCCTTGGCTATAGCTTGTAGCAGCCTTGGTGCACCTGTGAGACTCTGAAGTCCAGCCCCACAGGTTGAGAAGAAGGAGCCAATAACAATCACCCACGGGGATGGCCAAGATAAGGTACCTACCACCAGATTACCTTTCACAGCATCCCCAAACCTGAGAGAGAAATAAGAGTGGAAAAATTAAATCTGGAAATAACTTTAGACTGTTTGGTGCAAGAGGCCTAACTTTTGGCTCATCTCAGCTTTCAACACGCCTTCCTCACTAAGCTTAATCATTTCTAGTTTCTGATTTAAAGAGACGTGTGACTCTTCCTTTCACTTGAACAATGAGAGGCTACTGTAAAGTTATTATTTGCCTTACTTACAACATTGTTGTGTCTCAGGGAATAGGTGGCCCAAGGAGAGGAAGAGAGATGAGGGAACTGCTGGTCAGTGGAGTAGCCAGAACACACACATTTATTAAATTGACAGTCTTATATGTGTGTGGTTTATGGCGCCCCCCAACAAATACAATAGCAACATTATAGATTACTGGTTGCAGATTACCATAACGAATATAATGAAAAAGTTTGAAATATTGCGAGAATTACTAAAATGTGACAGACACATGTGAGCAAATGCTATTGGAAAAATGGTGCTGATAAACTTAGTTGATGCAAGGTTACCATAAACCTTTACATTGTAAAAAAGAAAAACTCAGTATCTGCAAAGAGCAATTAAGTGAAGCATCATAAAATGAGGTAAGTCTGTATTAAGGTTCCTGTCCTCAAAGGACTCAATCCAGTAGAGGAGAGTGATATAAAAACAAGTAGCTGCAATATGGTATGGTAAAAGCAATAGTATAGTGTGCTTAATGTAGTGGTTGAACAAAGGGAGGGGTGGTTATCTGTGTGAGTGAGTCTGGGAAAGCTTCATAGGATAGAAGATACTTAGTCTAGTCTTAGAAGATGAATATAAGTCTGGCAGGTGGAAATAATCGATTCTAAGTAAGGAAAACCATACAGACAAATGTGTGAATGACTGCAGATCTGAAACAAGGCACATTTAACTTTAAGTTATGGCTGGAGCACAGAGAGTTTAGGAGGGAATGGCTGGAGATGAGATTAGAAAGAGGTAGACAGGGCCAGATAAAAGTAATGAGTTTTAAAAGGCTTTGGTCGGCTCTGAAGCAGGAAAGTTTGTTTTTTAGAAGAACAGTTCTGGTAGCAGCATGGAAGAAGGATTAGAAGGTGGTTAAACCGAAAGGACGATTATTACAATAATCTAAGCAAAAGATCCTGAGATCTTGTACAAAATGATGGGGATAAAGAATAGTGGAAAGTGGAAAGAATGAGATCTACTACTGTGAAGGGTAGAATTTACAGGGCTTAGAAACCAAATGAATGAGAGAATTGATGAAAAAAGTGTAGGATGGATGACACATAGGTTTCTGTTTTGAAAAAGGAGTGAATGGTAAGGCCATTAAGTCCCCAAGATGGGAAAATTGGAAGAGATACAGCAAGTTTCGGGGAAGCATTTTTCTGAAAATTTCTTGCAAAAACATATTTTATACTCATAGGTGAAAGGAAAACACTCAGCAGCTTTCATGAAGGAAATGAAGAAAGTAAGTTTCAAGCTTTTATTTAGAATGCCAAACAGATACATATGTATGTCTCATAAAGGAGATGCTAGAGACACTTGAAAGTTTTATTTTTACTTCCTTCCTTTACTTTTGGTCTTAGTTTTCCAGGTCTTAATGTACAGGTAAGTCATTATTCAGACAAATTCAATACTATATTGAAAAGTTTTATTCACTGCATCTCACGTATTTATAACAACATACTGGCCCTTATTATTCACTAATCTTTTTGAGAACTATATACTGTATGTATATTTTCTAATTGTTAGTCATGGTAGATACTTCAGGTTGGGTTTTGAGTTTATAACTGTCTTGGGGTTATGTGGGATAATCAGACATAATAGAAAACAGACACATGATTGTTACAAAGAAATCAGCTACTCACTTGTCTCTGAGAACAACGCCTTCAATACATGCGCCAAAAAGTACAACATTGCTTAAATCTACCATATTGAGTGTCAAGGAAAATGATGTTCACCCTTTAAGATGAGATATAAAGCAGACACTCAGGATTATTTCTTCTACCAGTGAAATGAGTTGTTAAATTCACTGATCCTATAAATCCTTTCTTGAATTTTAAAGATGACGTGGGTAGATTATCTGGTGAGAAGGTGGTAGAAAGCAGATATCTTTATTACCAGGATAAAAATACTGATCACTCTAGTTCTACTTGATGTTCCTATGACTAAGACCCAGGTTGGATCCATGAAAAGGATACAGACAAAGGAAGTGGTCAGTATGGCAAGGATAGTGCCAATGGGAATAGACTTTTGAGCATCTTTCAGGTCTCCAGACCTGTTTGATCCAGCCATGATACCTTTAGAGAAGGAAAAAAGAACAAGTTAACCTCTTCAGTTCCTAGACATTTTGACATTCATACGAACATCAAAGACTAGAGGCAAATCTAGGAATCTTGAAAATATAATGTTGTCTCCTGAGAAAAATCACAGTTGGAGTCTGATAGCTTCTCAAACAGAAAACAGCCCTACTGCTTACCTGTCACAGAGGGAAAGAAGATTCCCACAAGAAGAGTGAAGGAGGTGGTGATGTCAACAAGGACATACTCATGGTTTAAACTCCCTAAAACATCAGAAGACTTGGCTGAAGGCTTTTCGATGATCTCTCCCTTTGGTAGATAATTACTCCAAAGATTCTCTGCGGTGGGCAAAAAGAGGAGATATAAGCATCAGCGGTATAGAAAGAAGATATTTATATAATTTCTACCCAAACCACCTTCTAAATCAGACTCCTCATTTATAGGGCTTTTAAAGGTATGCTTGCTTCTACATAAGAACATATACACATACAATAAAGTACGCATAAACCAAAAACTAATGCCCTTCCTCACCTGGTTCAAATATAATTTAACAAAATGCTTTGGTACATACAAATGCAGTTAAATTTATTGATGCAAATTAGTAAAACTTAAGCAGACTAAAGCTAACTGCCCTGCAAAGCCCCTTTGTTTTTTTATTAGTCATCAATGCTGTTTCTAATACCTCAGTGTAAACTTCCTAACATGCAAAGAAATTTGTGGATCCAACAATTAAAATAGAATTCATGTAAAAAGAGTTTCAGAAATTTAGCTAAGTTAGGAAAACACATATGTGGATGTGGTGACATTAAAATAGTTCCATTCTAGCTGCAAGAGGAACATTAGCAATTTTACAATAACACAAAGAATATTTTATTATCTTATCCTAGATTAAAAAGTGATTTGCTTAGCTCTTTCAAAAGGAGGTAATTTGTAGCAGACAACACTGCAAGGGAGTCCTGAAAAAGGATAACTTTACTAATAAAAAAGTAGAAAGATGTTGAATTAAGAGCTGTATGCTGAACTTAAAAAGGGAAATGGCTCATTTTCCTCAGAGAAAAAGGAAAAACTTGTCCAGAACTCTCCTAACTTACCTGTAATGACACCA